TTTTTAGAAGTAACTAAAAATTTGATTAGGCATTTTCTTTAATTTGCAGACCTATTTCTTTAAGATTATATACTTTCATGGTCACATATAGCTGTTTATGTTTGTATGACCTTACTTTTGTCAACCAAAGTGTCTAATCTCCATCTGAGAACAGTGTGGTTGTTTTTCATTATCATGTGGAAGTGAGAATGCGGTAAAGACAATGTTTTGGGAGCATTTTTCTGATTCCCCAAGAATTGCCATTGTGCTGGCCAACCCTTTGTATAAGCAAACTCGATGAGGTAAGGCTCAATTAGAGACAGAGATCCTTTCTTCACCACCTGAGGCTCAGTCTGTGTGTTTGGCACCTTGTTTTTCCTTGTCATTTCTGTCCTGCATGCGCCCTGCTTCCTTGACCTTCAAGACTGATGACTCAATCTTTCCAACCCCTTCATTTGCTCCACAGACCTCTGCACAAATGGAGTCATAGCTCACACCTTACGAGCCTTGACAAGTGATCTGCTCCATCCAGTTCTTCAAGACACTCTCCCATCCATCTTTGCAGATCATTTTATGAGTGAATTACAAATCAAAGCCATTTATTTAATGGCGATTGCGTGCAGAAGAACTTGGCCGAGTGGCTGACATCACAAGGTCTCATTCGGTTTCACGCACATAAACACTTTTGTCAGAGTAAAGAATTACTTTGAGAAAAAGCTGTGCACTTTGAAAGCACTGACTGATAGTGATGTCGCCTCCAAATGTGGCCTCTCACTTTTCACAGCCAGGCTCATAAGTTAGGCTGTAAAATACACCAGACTCCTGTCTCATCTCAATATAGAAGTCAGGAGAAAAAAACTGCTTACTCTTGCCAAAAACCATCCCACAAACCCCACTGGGAATGGACTTAACTTGGGCACAAAGGCCCTGGTTATATTTCACCGTAGGATGGCCTTTGTGCCTCTGAATCAGGCAACACTGAGGCTGTGTCTGCTCCTCGCACAACCTGTCTGTCTCCTAAGCTGACAAGCAAGTCTTATTTAGGGAGAAGCACTGAAAAAGTCCACCGGGGTTTCATGGATTTTGTGTGTGGCGTACACGGGGGCACACACACACACAGGTTTACACATTGGCACTTTGTCCAAATGAGAGCTCACTCACAGCACATTTCTCACACTGGAATTGTATGGGGGCAGGATTTGCAGAGAAAAAGAAGTAGAGAAAGGGGGGGAGGGTGTGGTGGCACCGGTTGGAGGGGTCTTTTCAGTTCTTTTTGGAGGCAACAATAGTCTTTGTCCAAGATCTTCCACTATTCTTATAAGGGTTACCGAAAGAAGGAGGAGAAGCAGGAGGAGGGAGGTGGCCACGCAGGCGGAGGGTGTTTCTCCATAGTAACAATGACAAAACAGGCCAGTTCACCACCAAGCAGGCAAAAAGGTTATTGGAGCTGCTGAGGAGGCACACACAAACCTGTGGAGTAGAGCCCTGTCCACAGAAGGAAAGGAGGAAGACCAGTTTGGTGAGGATCTGTAGAAGGGGGTCAGTGTTGTGTAAAGAAGACAACGAGGCAGGCAGCATTTCCGAAAGCTTTATGACAAAGTGTTTGTCAGTCAGTCAAAGAAAGCGCTGGGAGGAACATTATCACAGCAGCCAGCACATCTGTATCCTCCGAGCATGGACCGAGACAGTCACAGTGAGGACACATTGTCAACTATGGTTCTGGAGAACATAAAGAACAAATTAATTGATGCCTTCAGAGTGACAGGAGAGTCCCGAGAAGATCTCCAGGACTCTGGTTCCACAGTCAGACCGGTCAGCGTGGGCAGGAGTTATCAAGCAAACGAAGAGCTGCGGCGGGCACAGATAGATGGAGCGATAACCTGGCTGAGGTCTGAACTGGTAGGTCATCTTAAAAAATTTGACTTTGTTTGCTATTTATCTTTAGTCTTCAACAGGTGGTATTAACAGTCATGGGTATTTTATTCGTTTATTATTTTTAACCAAGTTCAATTATGCATATGAAAAATCAAAGGAAAGGACTAGTAATTTTATGTGTAGCTTGGTTATGCTAATTATTTTCTTTCATTGTTGTCATGCAGTTGGAAATGCGCTCCCAGGACCTCCAGCTGGCTCAGACACTGCTGGGGCTCAACACAGAGATCCAGAGACTAAGGAGGGAGAGTTTTGGATGTGTGGAGGTAGAAGGGGGTAACCACCAGTAACTGGCTCCAGCAAAAGTCTATTTTTTTTTTTACTGGAATGAATAGTGGAGAAAGTAAGGACTGTGATGCAAAGATTCAAATGCACTTGCTTATAATAATAAGTTGTATCACTGTAAAGGAAGTTAGTTACCAGTTCCATGTAAAATACCTTTAGTGAAAAAAAAGAAGGTTGCAATATGTTGAATTGTCTTTGATCCTGCTCTTTTCTTTTTTGAAGAAAATTTGCACTTACACAAAGTTGTGATAAACAAAGTGGAACAAAAAAAAAAGAAGACATAAATGTGTGAATGTAAGAGAAGTAAAATGTACAATGTCACCGTCTTTGTGTCTTTATTTAGCTGGCATACTGTAACCACTGCAGTACATGTTTTAAAAAGTGCTATAAAATTCAGGAATGGTTAATAAATACATTCATGTGTCACTCCCAAACAAAAACAAAAAAGCCCATCTTTATCTACATGTAAGAGCATTTTAAAAACTCATATGTCAAATCAGAATAGTTATCTGCAGTTACAATGGACACACGGAGATATAAAAAAACAACCTCCAGGCTGACCTACTGAATGACATTTCTGGTCAGACAGAATAAATATCAGTGACTTTTCATGTTAATATTTGTCTAGACAGAGAAAACTCTTACTATCTTTAACACAGTGCTTCAAAAGACTGCCTTTAGGTCATTGTTTAATACAGATACTAAAATATAAAGTAACAATATATACATACTGGAAATGCATATACTGTATGATGCTACAGCCATTGATGGATTAGTTTGGCTAATGAAATACTCCAGACAGCATTTCATGAATCCTACTTTTCCTGCTACATCATACTCTTTAAATATTAAATATTTTTTATTTAATCTGTAGTAGTCTGTAAGAAAACCACTCACATAACTATGACTTCAGTAAACCTGGGTGTACTCATATCTCACATGTCACACTGTTAATTTAGTTCCATCAACTTCACACTCCACTTTAAGATTCTTGTTTTAACAAGAATCTTTAATCTCTTAGAGCTCTGCATGGACACTCACCAGAGTATACCAGTAAACCTTTACATGCATACAACCCAACAGGTGCCTGGGGTCATGTGATCAGTACCTGCTGGCTGTGCATCATAAAAGGCTGAGAATTAAAGGAGACAGTGGACTCCAGACTCTGATATGTGCGGACTTAAAATACAGCTAAAAACTCATCTTTTTAAACTCCATTTACTGTCTTTTGTTTTGTTTTGATGTTCTATCCTTTTTGTTGTCAAGCACTTTGTGATGTTTATTTTGAAAAGCAATATGCAAATAAAATGATAATTTATTCATGGCTGAAAAATATAGGCAAAACAGAACTGTCAAAAACAGCAGTTCCTCTAATGGCCACTTGAGGGTGACTCCAAAAGTAGTTCATCCTGTTAGACTCCAATGTTAAAACTCCCAGCTTACGTCTTGGTACAGAAAAATCAAACAAACACGTGTTTATTATGAATATTAATCGAACTGGAAGGTGGATGACTTGTGTTATAACTCACCAGCATGTATTTTTATGGATATACTCAACGTTTTGACACTAAAAAACAACAACAAGTAAACAAAAAAACAACATGGCTGTTGTGCCCCACAACTACTAATTAGCCTGTTTTGCAAAAAAACAAAAAAACATTTGTTTTTGTCTAAGGTGCCTTTTTTCATTTACAATGTCATATTCGTGTTATGAAAATAAAAATAAAGTATAAGCCATGACATTGTTGGCTAATTTGTATGCAGCCGTAAGTTAAACTGACTTTAAGCTTTGTTTTTTTCTTAAGTGAAGCGGTGGAAAATGGGGTCACCGAACTCCACCTTGTCTATGTTAACTGCCTTAAAAGGCACATTTTTGAAAGATTCGTCTGACTTTTTAAGGCACAGAGCTTCTCCTGCAGAACATCCTCCTCGATAGAGTGCCCGAATAAAGCTGCTGAGCCATCTTTAGGCAGGAAATGGAAAAGCCCCCCTCCACTGAGCTGGAGTAGAGACTGCCGCTTCCTTGTTCACTCTCAGAGTCCCAGTAGCTCCCCTCCTCTTCTTCCTCATACGTCTCCTCCTCTTGCTCCTCCTCATTCAGCTCCTGCTTGAGCTCCTGGATGCCTGAGTGAAGCTCCATCAGCTGTCGAATCAGGGCTTGATCCTGAGAACGCATCTCCATCTACACACGGAGGACACATCTGTTTAGATTTCACAGAAGCACAGAGCAAACAGACAAATAGGACCAAATACCAAACTGTGAATGAAAGAATTGTGAAGCGAACTTCAGAGAGTTTCTTTCCATCTCGATGAAGCTGAGCAGGTTGTGCTCGCTTTGAAACCGTAAGCCATTTCATTTGAGTGTTGCTCTCTTTCAAATGCAAATGGATCTTTCTGTCATTCCCTTTCTTTTCCTTTTTTATGAGAGGCTGTCCAACTACTGGCATTGTAAAATAAGATATTCAGAATTCCATCGAGTGTCCAAGTCTGTGCAAAGCACTCAGGAATGTGGGCCGATCTGCATTTCTTTTCTCGGTTAATTACAGCACCAGGCTCAAACTGAGGCTGAGGCTGTGCATAAAAGATTCTGGTTGTATTTCCTTTGTCGACACTTAATTAAGAGAAAACCGTGATTTTCTTTTTTTCTTCTTTGAGATCGAGCCATCTTGGGCTTCACCTCATTATGCCAAACACTAGTCCTTTTCAAATAATGTAGAGGCTTCACAAATCAGCTTCTGTCTGTAGATGTTTTTTTTTTCAGGGAGTATGCTAACCACAGAAAAAAACAACCTCAGCACAAAGCTTTGGGACTTTTTGGTGATATTTTATCACATTTTGCTTATGAATTATAAGCGATACTTAATGCATCTTCTGTCTTTGGTGTGTCTGTTTCATTTTCCTTCTTTTTTCTATCCTTAATTATCTTCGTTTAAGTGTGGGAGAATAATACCATAGAGGCATCTGTGTCATTAAATTCATCTCATGAACGCAAAAAGTGGAACAGCTATGGGTTGGGGAAACATTATCATATTGTAAATTCAAATGTCTTTAAATATAAGGTTATGATAAAGATTACTTTGAATGAGGCTAAAAGAAAGTTAATAAATCGTTATAAAATATTGATGAGACGGATAAAAAATCTCCTTAGGCGATTTAAATAAGATGTTAAGTTTAGAAACTAATGAAGTAAATAACATAGAAAACAATAGATTTATTAGTCTAGTTCGTCTTTAGTTTAGTTGTTTTCTCCCCCTAATGCATTTTGAGCAAAAGCTCTAGAAAAGCCACAAATCAACCTTAAGATGAGAAGAAGCAAAAGTTTTTCCAGAGTGAATAAAGAACTTTGGATTGTTGTATGCATTAAATAATCACATCTACAGATGTGCTCTTTTCAAAATTGCAATGTGATTATATTTGCCTATAATATTTAAAGGTAAGTACACTAAAAAGAGGGTAAAAAGCCAGGTTTTACAATAATTATACTGTAAACAAATTCAAGTACTCTGTAAGTAATTTCAAGTAATGCATAACTTCATGTATTTTACAAGAAAGGAAACACAAATGATTCTGTAGGTAAATTTAAGTGTTGTGTAATTTCTTAGTAATTTTGTGGAAAAACAAACAATATTTCCAAATCTTACATTGTAAGTACACTGTACTTTTCATGGCCGCGGATTGCACTATGGAGTGGCTTGACCTTGGCTTCCAGGTATTTTAAAGGAAAGGAGGTCCTTTTGAAAGTCTTCTTTGAATAGTGATTGTAAAAGAAAAGAACATTAAGTTGACTTGACCCCATCACGATAAGGTCACATAGGCCTGCAAATTTGGATGGTACTTATTTTTTCTAAATTGATAAAAGGACAGTTGAGTAATGGAACAAAACAAAACAAAACAAAAAAAGTAAACAGACAAGATGAATCGACTCCATAATATGGCCTGGCCATGGTGTATAAAGTATATTTAAGATGTGAGACGGGGAAATTGTTTGCTTTTCTGTAAAATTACCATAAATTCTACACCACTTAAAATTATTTATTCACTACTTTTATTTATTTATAATTAATGTGTAATTTATTTACATTATAGCTTTTTCTGCATTTCCTGTAAAAACCTGATTTGTTGCCCCGTTATTGTATTGGTTATCTTTAAGTATTTGCAGGTAAATATAATTACATTGTCATTTTAAATAAAACACAATGAAATTCTATTTGACTACAGGAGACTTACATGCTTTGTCACTGGCTGTATTATGAAGTATTACCATATATAAAAATAAGAAGAACATCTGAACTCTGAAAATCTGAATTTATTATATATAATGAGGCCAAAGGTTAAAGGTTTTAGCCTGAGCACCTCCTTAAACTATCTGAAGGAAGGTGAAACAGACAATTTAAGGATCTCATTCACTGCTGCTCCTCTGAGGCCTGTTTCCAGGATGTCTCTGTTTCTCCTTGTTGCTCTTCTGTCCGGCTCCCGCTCAGACTGTTTTCTTCTCTGTGTGCTCAGGACACTCGGTTACCATGACGAGCAGTCCCAATAAATGCCAAGCGATAAATCAAGCCGTGACAATGAGCCTTGCACTCGCAGACACACAAGCACATGCACACACAGCCTCTTTGCATGGTGACGGTGGTTTAAAAGGGAGTGACGCTGTAAGAACATGACTTACATGGAACCGGAGGAACAAAGAGGGCAATAACTTGGGCCTCACACACAAAAACATCAGGGCTGACCATAGAAGTCGTTCTGATGGTGGGACAAATGACTTGATCTTTATCACAACAGACAATAAAAATGTTTTTAGACTTCCCACAGACGTCACAAAAGGGCCATGCAGAAGAATTTAAAGGTCATAGAATTTGTTGCTATTTAGTAAATGAGCAAAATTGATATTTTATATTCACCTCAGTTTGAATTTGGTTGAATATTAAAATAAAATACTTTCAAAACTAAATTCAAATTAAATTCAACCCATTTCACAATTTACTTTGGAAATAAAAGGGCCATTTTAACCCCGAAATTTCAAAGTCTACTGTCACCTGTGCAGATCACAAAATAACACACATCAGTGGTGAAGGAAGTATTCAGACTGTTTCCTGAAGCAATAAAGCCAATGTGGCCCTATCTATGAAATATTTGCTGAACAGTGGCCACTCTGACTGTCTGAAAAAGAAAAATGCAAAACTATGGGACAAGATTTCTAATCTTAGTGAACTAACTCAGTAATGTTTGTCATATTCCATCATTTGGCTAAAACTGCTAAATAAATTAATGAATTTGGTCAGCAGATTAAACAAGTCCAACAAAATCCATTTGTTTAACTAGAACATTTACTACAACAACATTGTACTATTGTCCTACAACGTGTTACAAGATTTAAGGAAATTATATACAAAATAGTTATTTCTTCATCAAAAATGATTGAATCTGACTTACATACTTACTTACTTAAGTACCTACTTACACAGAACTTTGAATGGCACTGACCCAAAGTTCTGAAAGTGTTTTAAATTTCATTTTACATGCACAAGATTATATTTTTTTGCATGCAGCTTTTAGTACGGACAAATAACATTTTTTAAATCTTTATTGTGTAAATAAACATCCCCTATTCCCAGAACGCATAGTTTTGTACAACTCTAACATGAGCTGCCACAATAAAACTAAACAGGGCTTTAATATAGTTGTAACAGGAAACAGGAATCTGCAGGTGTTATATACATATAGCAAGACAAAATTTATTAGGGATACACCGTTTCCCTTAAAGGCTCGATCAGAGTCCCAGTCTTACCAGTTCCCTTCGCAGCCAGGCCAGTGCACTCTCTATGTCCAGTTTGCTTGCTTCTCCACCAGATGTGCACCCTTCCTTGACATGGTTGGTTCTGGCCTCAGGGTCCCTGCTCGTGCTCTCTTGTGCTCCCTTGCAGTCATCAAAGGTGGAGGTCTTGCAGGAGAAGTCCCGCAGTCTTGTTAGGACCACCTCCATCATGTTAGGTCAGTGATAATTCTTCTAACTGGAGTCTCTTCGACACCCTCTGCTGTGTCTTGCCTGTTTTCGGCCGTAATGCAGCTGCAAACAGCCTCGTCTTCTGTTATGAGGTCCCTGCCAGCTCGAAGGACTTAAGAGGAGCTCTCTCTCTCTCCCGTTCTCATCTTTCAAACATGCTCCTTCCTCCCTCCCTCTGCTCTCCTCCTTTTTCTTGCCGTCTGTCTCGCAAACATTAGCCCCCAACTGCTTGGCAGAGTGAACTGGTAGCACTGCTCTGGCAAATGCCACCGAGCTGGTATGACGTCAGTGAATTGTCCGGATGCCTGATGTGGAGCTGTTTGGTTTTTTTGTTTTGTTTTGTTTTATTTTTGTTAAAATCAGACACACAAACACAGAGATCATTAGGAAGGAGATGAGGGAATTAGGCCGGTGGTTGTCTTGAAGATGACACAAGTGTCCTGTTGTGTAAACTTACACAGCTTCAGTGAGTTTTGGTCTGTTAAAAGATGATGGAAGGTGATGATGCTGACAGAGACATAAACTTTAAGTCCTATGGTGTACGTAGAGCTCACTGCCCTGAGTGGCCTACGTCAGGGTCAGGATCTAAAGAACAGTGTGAACAGCCATGTGTAACTAACCCTTCTCATGCCATTTTCCCTTCACTCTGTAGCCCCTGGCAACCCACTCCTCATCTATTCACACACTTCGGTAAACCAAACACAGGCCGGCTGTACGGAGCCGGCCTATATCGACCAAAATAGCCCCAACACACTATTTTTAGAGTTAAACTGACTCCACTTTTAGACTTGTTTAAGAAAGCAAACGTCACCTCTCTCAAAAAGAGCTAAAAAAGTCTTCAAGTCTCATTGTGCAAGTGTGTCATGTTCCCACTGGTGCTTTCAAAAGGAATGAAAAGAGCTGATGTAAGTGTTTTAACGTCACACACTGCATTGGGTGAAACTCTCCATTATATTTTTGCAAAAGGCACTTTGTCTCAGCCTTGTCAGCGGTTGAATGTAAGATCGATTTAAAACTGGAGTAAGCGTCATGGTTTTGGTATCGCTGGACAAAAAAACATGGCACAAGAAATCTATGGGACAATCATTTCTAACAGCAGAGATGGCGTGAACCAATCATGTTGCTGTACTCTTGCACATAGAAGTGCTGTTAAAAAGTATTGCCCCCCCTTCGGACCTCCTTTGCTTTTTATTTTTTTGCCATATTTGTCACAGTTAAATGTTTCAGATTGTAAAACAACTTTTAGATAAATCTGAGGAAACACAAAATGCAGTTTTTAAAATGATGATTTAATTTATCAAGGGAAAAGGGGATTGAGAATCTACCTGGGTGTGTGTGAAAAAGCAATTGCACCCTGAACCTAATGACAGGTTGTGTCACTCTTGGCAGCAAGAACCACAATCAAGTACTTGCTGAGTTAGTCATTGCTGTGGAGAAATTTTGTCCCACTCTCTCTTTTTTTTTTTATATATTTGTTTCACTTCAGCCATATTGGAGGGTTTTTCAGCATTAATGGTCTGTTTACGGTTGTGAAAAAACCCCATCTCAATCAAATGTAAGTCCAGACTTTGACTAGATCACTCCAAACCCTTCAAACCCTCCATTGCTTTTAAGCACTGATGTGATGTCTTGTGGAAAATCCTGCTGCATAGCCCAAGTGTGCTTGATCTTTGGGGAACAAATGGCTGCACATTCTCCTTTGGGATTTTCTGGTAGAGTTTTTATGCTTCAAGTAGTAGTTTTAGGTCCACTTAAAAACAAAAAAATAATCAGGGGGTTCCTCAGGGGTCTGTCCTTGGACCGTTATTGTTCAAGCTTTACATGCTCCCATTTGGTACTTTCATAAAGAATCATATCATAGCTATAATATCGCATTCTTTTGCAGATGACATTCGGTTGTACCTATCATTTTCCTCATATTATCTATCTCCTGTTCACAAACTAGTAAGTTGCCCTGAGGAAATGAACTGCTGGATATGTATGTATTTATTCTTGACTCAGAAAGTCAGAGACAGAGAATTTGTTCATATTTATCATGCCCTTCTCTGAAACACACAGCAAACAAATCAAGAGCCTTGGCATTATTTTGAAGGTCACCTCAGTTTGATAATCACATCAATATGATTACCAAAACCGACGTCTACGACTTAAAATGTATATCAAAAATCAACAAGTTATTATATTAAAGTGACTATGAAATTGATGCAGTAAATGGATTAATCCATGCAGGATTATCCAAACCATCATTAAAATGCAGTAGTAGCCAGTACTGCATGGAAATGTGAACATATTACCCCAGTATTCAAGTCTCTCCACTGGCCCCCAGCTCAACACAGGCTAACTTTTAAAATCCTTCTGTTAGTTCATAAAGCTCTTAATAGTTTGGCCTCCCAGTGGATCTCTGACTTGCTCAACGTCAATAACCAAATTAGACCTCTCAGGTCGTCAGGTGCAGATCCTTTAACTGTTCCCAGAATTAGATTTAAGTGTGCTGAGGTTGCTTTCAGATTTTGTGGTCCTGCTCTTTGGAACAAACCGAACACTGATCTGAGGTCAACTGGAACAAACTCAAAACCTTTTTATTCTCACAGGCTTACTGTTCAAAACGTTATATATGTGTGTGTTAACTTCTATTTTATGTTTTCGTAAAGTTTGTTTTGTTTGTGTTTTTATTGCCTTAACACTTCGCAGGCCTACACTGGTTTATCTTAAAGGAATGTACTGTATAAATAAAATTATCATTGCGCTTGATCACCACCTTGTAGGAAGCTTAATTTTGAATTAAAGGTTTAATTCAATCAAAAGAAAGAAAAAAACACTAATGTTTGCCCTGTGATTGCTCCAATCTGTACTCATCCCACCACCTCCTCAAAGGGAAGCCAACTTCTTCATCTTCTTCCATTTCCTTCCACTGACCTCGCCTCCTCCACTCTCTTTACCACCGTTCTCTTCATCTATTATCACCTTCTCATCCCAGCAGATCAGCTATTCAAATCATTAAAAAAATCAATCTCTATGATCGATCAGATTAAAAAGACTGTTACTGCCTACTGCTAACGTATCAGCATTTACTCAGCAGGGCTAACGCTTTTAATGCCAGTTATTCTTTCAAACATTTCATCATGCGGTGTCCGAGTTTTGCTTTTAACATCATTTTAATAACTAAAGCGAATAAAGACACACTTTAAAAATAGAAACATGGATCTAAAATAATGAAGTATATAGAAGTGACTGACATGTAGGTCTGTTTAAGTGGATCCTTGTCGCCATCTTCTGGTACTATTTTATTTTATTTTTTTAAATCAGTCGCCAAAACAAAACCGAGACTAAGTTTTTTAGAAAGACTTGCTACCCATCTACTATCTTGAAACTCCCCCGGGGCTGTTATCGGCTCATTATCGATCTAAATAAAGAATAAATAAAAACATCACCGACATAGCTGCTATTTAATCCACCCACAGATTGAAAATTAGTGTAGTTTTTCTTTTCTTTACCTGTCAGCTCCACGCGAATATTTATTCCTTTTTTTCTGTTTCTGCAACTCAGCGCAAAGCTGTTCAGGTTAAACTAACAATATGCTCCACACTGCCAATAAAGACTCAGTGTGAGTGGCTGTTCCCATTCAAAGTGAAAAATAAAGTATCTCATTGATAAGTTAATTCCACTGTACGTGCAGGTGCTTGGGAATCTTTCGGGGGTTAAAATCGGGGTGTTAAGTAAGACTGCTTTCATCGGAGACGAGTTTTGCTGAATTTGGAAATAATGGCTAAGTGATAACGCAAGAGGAAAAGGCGCACGGCCCGTGTGGTTTGATTATGTAATCAGTGAGTGCCGGCTGATCAGAGGAGGTGGGCGGACCCCGAAGAACTCGAGCGGTAGTTTGGGATGTGTGAAACAGTGAAATCCTCCCCCGATTAGTGAATTAATCAAAGCTGAATTTGGGTTTTGAACACAAAATATTCATTAGCTTTAGGAAATTCAGGAAAGCTTCGCCCCAAATTATTCCGCTTTAATATGTTACATTTATTACAGAAGTGTGTCTGTTTTGAACCCCATGTGTGCCATCACCTCCCCCGCCGTCCTGCAGGCCGGTCGGCTCTGCGTTTGCACACGGTGCAAAGCGTTAGTCACAAGATAGCATCAAAATCTTTGCTCCTTGCACCCCAATTCGTTAGAGAGGACATCCAGCGGCCGCTGAAAGACGTCTCAAGAAGGCACAACTAAAGATCAGAGAAGAAAACAACGATTTTAAGTGAGATAACTGAACATTAATTTATTTCTAAGTATTGTTTTTACTTCTTCTTCTTTTTTGTTTGTTTAAATACATTTTTGTTTTTAGTCTGAGTATTTTTCCGACTGTCTGAGAAGACAGCAGTCATGTTTAAAAGCAAGGATCCAGAGAATTTTCACCTGGTGTCAGAAGAGAAGAAGAGATACAGCACACTGGAAAGGTAAACGATTAAAGTTTGTCTTAATAGTGTTTCAGATTGGAGTAGAGGAACATGTGATTCCCTGTTTCCAACAATAAACAAGTGAATAAAAACAAGCTTAAAAATATTCATTGTACTTGAAGGTTTGGTGTTAAATTGTATTTTAAATCAAAAGAAACAGAAAAGGGTTTCAAAGTTTCACAAAGTGCTTTGGGGAGTGTCTGCTCACGTTCCTCTGTGACCTACTGGTTTTCCACACGGGACTGGACTGGTCTGGGGGTCTGATGAGATTAGCTGTGTGCAAATGTGTGTCTGACTCGGCTCATTTAGCTGGCTCTACTTCTGCTTAATAGGGAAGTGTGCACAGAGTGCAGCAGCAGCGCATAGACCCACTTTTAAACACTCGTTAATCAGCGATTGTTTGTTTGATGTCCTCTGATGTTAATATTGTTATTGGGCCTATTATTTATTAGGTTACAAGACCTAGTCAGTTTTAGTCGGGGTTACAATGAGGTGTAACAATCGTCGTGCCAAAAAGTGATTTCCGGTGTTCCTTGTAATCGGAAGGTTGCCGGTTCGAGCCCCGGCTCGGTCGCTGTGTCCTTGGGCAAGACACTTCACCCGTTGCCTACTGGTGGTGGTCATGGGGCCCGGTGGCGCCAGTGTCCGGCAGCCTCGCCTCTGTCAGTGCGCCCCAGGGTGGCTGTGGCTACCATCACCAGTGTGTGAATGTGTGTGTGAATTCATAAAAGCGCTATACAAATACAGGCCATTTACCATTTA